TCATTTTCTCCATACTAATATGGATGTAGAAGGGCTTTGAACACTGGATTAACTTTAGATCCCCAAACAAAGTATATCTTACGTTTAATTTACCTTTTAAAGCTATATACTCACCTGCTAAAAAATAGCGAAAGATAAGAAAGTAAGAATCTGCCTGTAATGGGTGAATTTTCTCAGTGCGTTGGCCACTTTAAAGTACAGGTTTTCTTAAAAACCAGCTTTTACTATTTCTACTCCCTTCTAACACTAGTGACAATGAGCTGGAAGTAGAACTTCATGTGCTTCTTCACCGCCAGTCGGAAGCTTCGAGGTGAGGCACTCTGAAGGAGCCGTACATAACTTTGCGAGTGAAATCCCGTCCAAAGTATTCGGTGGTTTTGGGTGAAGTGGTTGTATTGGTATTGTTAACAGCCGAACTGCGGAAGCAAAAAGATGTGCTTTTAATTTGCTTTTAAATGATCTCGCATATTCTGGAGATGATAATCTGGTGGCGGGCTGCCATAGTAATGTGCCAGTCACCATGGCATCTGCACGCTATGAAAAGAAATTCTGGGCTGCACAAAGACAACACGACCAATTAGTATTTCTAACCGATCAAAGGTGGGTGACCAAAAAGTTTGCCAATAAACGTAGCTCAGTGGATGGCACCAGAAGTTAGACTTTACACATGTTTTTAAAGATCTCAGTCCTCCTATCAACATCGTGTGAACTTGTAGATAAAAGTCTTAATGCACGCTTTGTCCATGTACTGTGCTAACTGAAAATTTTTCAGTGGCATGAGGAGCGTAGCTGTACATTTCTGTTTCTCTGCTTTAGTGAAGAAGCAATTTATGATGCTGCTTTATATGAATCTTCAGAACTTTTTCTTCCTTACAGAATTTTAGCTTCAAACTGAAATTAAAGCAGTTCATGAAGTAAAAGGAATTTCTTTATTTGATTGGTAAATATTCCCAGTCTGTAAAACTTCTGGCACACTAATGTTTTAATACTAAATTAATTATCAAATTAAGATTAGATAGTTATCAAAAAGCAAGGTTATTTTATCTTTAAATAATTGACTGTGGCGTGTTGTTTGGAAGAGGACTGTTTTGGCAGAGATTCAAAATCCAGCGATGATTTTAACTCGGGCAGTTTGTTTAATCAAACATTACTCTAATAAGTTTTACATGGTACCCTAGCAGACCAGGCCTGACTATAACAACGAGTTTATTCTATGACGAGTTGCTCAACAGATGTCATTCTGCTAGAATAAGGCAGCAGAATACTTGTGCGTTGGCTAAAATTACTTCAACTTTGATCACTTTTGTTCAGCACATCAGGCTGGCATTGTGCTTTATACCAACATCACGCTATCCGCGGAGCATGCCTTTCAAGCTTAGAATAGCAGAGGAATGTTATTGAATTCAGTGCAGTTACAGATGAGTTAATGAAAGAAGGGAAATACTGTTTTTTTCATAATGCCTTCTTGTTGTACTTTGGAGTTAAAATGGAATCTGAGGAATGTGACTCCCGAGTTATTTATTTTTACTTCTGAAGGTTTTTTGAAAGCAGTGTTATGCAGTGCTGTTGAGCTCAGGTTTCTATAAATGTTTCACTTGTTATTTCCCAATAACTAGTTTGAGAGTTTTGTACTGGGAAAATAATGTTGTTAAGATTTTTTTTTTTGAGGGATGTGTAATTGAAGAATAATTATCTCACAAAGACAATTTATCCTGGTGTTTAATGCTAGAAAAATAAAACAGCAAGGACCGTATTCCTGTGATCACCGATCGGTATTGTTACGCTTTGATGGGATGTTGTGGGGTCTGTACTGAGTAATGACATCTCTTTACCTTGATTCTCCTGCGAAACGAATACGGCGCAGCAGGCTAGCTTCTTGTTAAGAAGCAGGGAAGAAAAGCTGTTTGTTTTAAACAGTGGGAGTGAGATCATCTACCCAGTTCTATAGAGTTCGGTCTTCCATAGTTCTGTTTTTTCACAGGTGTGTGTGTGTGTACAGATAGATATTTGAAATGGATTGAAATCAATGTCTAAAAAACAAAAATATATCTTAGTTTTTAAAAAAGCACGCTTAAGTATCAGGAAGCAATGATACAAAGTACACTTTAATTACTAGTAATTACTTTAGCATTCCACATCTAAAACGAAGTAACGCTCTTGTTTCAGTTTTTAATTAAAATGTAGTTAAAAAAAAATTAATTGTAGTTACCAGATCAGGCTCTGTGCAAAAACTCCTGGACAAAACCAATATTAACATAAAGGTTATTGAGTATACATGTAATTCACCCGTTAAAAAGAGGAAAAAAAAAAAAAAGAGAGAGAGGGAGAGATCTTAATTATTTCTTAAACAAACTGTGAATTCAAAGCTGAGCCGAAATTAAAAACAAACATATGTTATGATATGGAAATGTCCAGACAAGGCACTCACATGGCCTGAGTTTTGTCCTGTAGTGACATGTAGAATCATACAGTCGTAACGTGTCTTGCTGCTAGACTAGAAATTGCAGTGATTGTTTTCCCCTGGTCTGCCCAGAATGCTTGTTTATAAAACTTTAAACCGATAGTATTGAAATTACTCAATTATCTAGAGTAGTTAACACTAATAGTTCATGTTCCCATGCCAGTACATTGAATCTCTCCAGAAGCATGAAGCATTTCTTCATTGGTTTTGCTAAGGGGCACTTTACTAGTATGAAATAAACAGAAATAGTAAGAGTGAGCAACAGGAATTGAATGGAGGATCAGGGAATTGGAAATACAGCACTAATAGCGCTGCGTGTTGAGCTTGCTCTCCGCGTATGCCCTGATCTCCCTCAGTAGTACTTATTTGTTGGCAAACTCGTGCAGCAGGGCCACGGAGAGTCTTCTGACAAACGTTGCCCAGATCAACATTTGCGAGCATGTGTATGCGTATAAATCCCTGTCTCCTCCTCCCACGTAGGTTAACAATGATGAGGAAGTGTATCCTTTATCTGTGTGTATTAGTGTGCCTGAACTACATGCAGTGTGAAAGAAAGAGTCCGTGTAGCGTTCCTCTCTAAAGACGGTCCTGAGGAAAAGAGATTTGGTGATTTTGGAGATTTCATTATGCAGAGACAGGTTTTAGATGAAATCTACTGGCAGATTTTGCATATACATTCTGTACTAAGAATAAATACTAAACGGAATGTATATATATTACCGTGTTACTTTATCATGTATTCAAATCTCAACTCCACGTCAGTGACGAAGCTATGGCAAATAACAGATTAATAGTTAGGGTCAAATGCCATAAAATGTCTGTTTAGTAGGTTGGTTTGTTTTATTGCGTTATCTCTATTAAAATAGTAGGTTCAAATCAGCTTTTATTCGTTACTTAAAAAAAACTTTTAAGTGTATGGATTATGTTAGTATTTCTCATTTCGGCAAAGACTTTGCCCGTCTTCCCAATCTTGCGCCAAGAGCAAACTGTTCCAAGACAGACTGTTGTTAACTTAGGGTAAGCGTGTTGAGCTGCAAGACGTATGTTAGTTCAAAGACCTCTTCTGCTGACAGCTATTTATAATTTTTTTTTCAGTTCACAGATTTGATTAGTAATACCTCAAAGCAGAAGTTAAAATACAATTAGTTGTTGGTTCTTGCCAGTTGATAAGCGAAAAAAAAAGTTAAAGAAGACATCAAAGGAGAGTTTTTGGAATACAGTCTGGACATTTGCTTTATGTCAAATCTTATCCATCTGCCTTAATATCTTTTGCTTTAATGTGTCAAATATTTGGTTATCCTGTCTGTTAGCGTTAGACTGTAATACCTCTTAAAGCTGGGAAGTGAACATAGAATTTCTGACTTCTGATGATCTTCTCTCCAGTGAATAGTTATGTAAATTGTTAGTAGAATGTGTCAAATTTTACTATTTGAGAATGTTTTTCAGAACTGTAATATGGGTGGTTGATATCTGTACTTGGAAACCGAAGTAGACCCATGAAGGAATATATGGGAAGGCCGTATATTTAGATATAGCAGACTTCTGGAAAACAAATCAAAACCCAGCATTCCTGACTAATAGCATTTTACTGTTCGCAACTCTGATCCAGTTGGGCAATATTTACATGTGCTGTTACTTGTGCTATTTTTATATTCACGTAGAAGGGTATCTTTCAGAATCTGAGATAATGCTCTCTATGTCAAATGCAAAAGTATATTTTTGTGGTTCAAATAATTGTTTATCACAACCCTCTGGTAAAACACGCCAGCTTTTTTCTGTGTTAATGTTTTTGAGGAGAGAGTTTGGAAAGCTGTTGTATTTTGCTATATTCTTCCTATATTTGCAGTTTTCAGCTCTTTCTCCTTTTCCCCTTCCCTTGCCCTAACAACCGTCGTGTGTGATCATTAATGGTAATGGCTTGTCTTTGAACAGCGTGCAGAGAGAGTTGATGTAAAAATTACTTTATTTCCTTTTTGATAATAAATGCTTGAAATGTGTTGTCTTGTTGGAAATATGAAAACAAATTAATAATCACATTTAACACTGCCATTTTTGTTTCTGGATTCCGTTTAAGACATGTGTGCAAAAATAGTTCTTATTGCACTAGATGTACCATGAACCTAAATTTTTTAGGTGAAATCAGAATAGGCTAACTAGGAAAAATTGCAACAGAATTTTTGTTATTATCTTCTCTACCCCTTCAGTTTGCTTGTTATTTTATATTTTTTTCTATGATGAGGGATTTGTATTATGAAAAGTTTTACACATTGATGATGCTCTATAAATCCTCATTTATAATGATTTATAATAATGGATTTTTTTCCTGTAATAGTTTATTCAGTTGCTTTCAGCAGAACTGTATTTCATCTGTACTGTGCATAATCCTCTGGAACAGATCTGAATCTCTGAGTGTTGGAGGAGCCTGTCTTACAATAAGTAAATGGGAAAAAATCAAAATAAAAAGCTTGGGATTGTGATCAAAGTAATGCAGATTGGCTGTATGCTTTTGTTATTTACCAGTTCTGATTTTCTTTAACAGGTAAAGCGGAACGTGTATGACCTAACTAGTATTCCTGTTCGTCACCAGCTGTGGGAAGGCTGGCCTCCTTCTGCCACAGATGACTCGGTGAGTAGCTGGTTCTTGTTGCATTTTTTCAAAAAACAGTTGATTTTACTTGGCTTTATGATCAGAATAGCCCAACAGCTTTTTTTGTCCCATATACAATAACTTAAGATTATTACATGTACTTCAGAGCATTATCTGGAAAGATGCAGGTATGAGTTTATTGGCTTGCTGAAGCACAGAGGTAGTTCCACGGAAATTACTCCTGGGTATCAAATTCAGTGTATGTTTTAGACTAGCAGCGCACAGTGTTCCTAGATCGAAGCAAAGTTGCACAATGTTCTGAAAGTTGAAGAGAGCTGTTGCAGTGATTGGGCATCAGGAAAGCATCCTATTTTTTTAGATGTACTCTAAGGACATGTCTAGGTATTTTCTGAGGCATCAGTTCACTGGTACACTTAAGCCTGGGCATGGCTAAGCGGGCAGGTGTTCATGTTAAAATCACTGGAGAGCTTCACTTGCTTTTCAAGTATGTACTTTGGTTCTTGATGAACTGGTAAGAGTTTACAAGATTACATTTTGAAATAGTAAATGCTGTGTGCATGAGATATTTCAGTTTTCAGACATATTCTGCGGGTTTACATGATTTAGAAATGGGAGAAAATATTAAATTTTTTAGATCAATATGTACACTTGATAATGGAATCAGCTAGTTGTGAATTGATTACAAATTTATGAAGTTGTGAGGCTTAACTGTAGAATTCTAATAATTATGCTTGTCTCCTTGCCTGATTGTCCCCACAGTGAATTTTACAGCAACTTTTCAGTTGTACTTGGACAATTTTTCTCTGGTAGTATATTCCTAATGCCAGCTAGTGAGCATTTTTCCCTTAGGAAAAAAAGTACTAATAAAAGAGGACAAAAGGCAGAACTAATAGTGCAGTTAAGTTGCACATAATTTTTGTGATAGTGACCTGCAGAGAAAGATAAGTATTTCTATTTTTACCATTATTCATTTAAAGTAAGGGTGGAATCTGAGTATTCTATAAAGTGAAAATGAAATGGGGATGAGCTTTCTCCGCATATTAGTGTTATCTTCAATATATTTGTTTGCTGTCAGTTGCTGCTCCCCTTATAAGACTCTGGGTAAAGGATTTATGCCAAAAAAAACCAAAAAAACCCAAAAAACCAAAGACTTTCTGATTACCTACTATACTTGTGAAATATGTCGGTGGTAGTGTTTGCAGAAATAGTAATTAGGTTTGTGAGAGGTGGATAAAGCTGTGTCCATGTATTCAAGAGCGTATTTAAGACTATAGATACGAGATTTGAAATAACAGCATGCTGTCATATGGTAATTAGTCTTGGAAATGTCGATCCATTGTAACATTTTATTAGTTTATGTTAGCCCAAAAAAGAATTGGAAACTCGACGCTACTAATCTGTTTTTCCCACAGCTCTTAAGAAAAACAAAATAAATTTTCCCTTAGGAAAGCTCTTCTTTTGGCTAGGATACCTCCACATAGGTTAAAAACCCATAAATCTGTTTTAAATCTGTTTTTACAAGTGACATTGTTGCAGGTGAATTTTTCCCTTTTCATCTTTAATGAAATTGGTGAATGTTGAGTCATCTGCTCCAAAGCAGGAGAGTCCTCAAAGCTCACTGCTTGAATCTGGTGCAGCTGAGACTTGTCAGCTGTGTAAACAGATTTCAGTGTGTTACCAACAAAAATATAATTAATTTCTGTCTAAAATTAGAGGCCACAACTTAATATTTATAAAGATTTAACGTTAGCAATGGTTACTTGAGTGCTTTTTCCTTTGCAAATTAGAAATATATAGTAATAATTACTTCAGTCATAAGTAATCATCTCTTCAGTTCAGTGGCAGGTTTTTTTAAATCCCTTTTTCTGTACTGAGTTTTCCGTGTGCTGGGCTGGATGAGAGTATAGTCCTTAGGCGCAGTTAAAGAGTTAAAGACTAGATTAAAATACTTTTTCATTTACATTTTATGCAGCATAAGAAATACTTTGTAATACCACAGGAGGTTTTGTCAGTGCAGTTCTCGTTAACCTTTGGCTTAGCAAACAGGGCAACTAAATAGACTTGGCATAATTGGATTCCTGTATCATCTTGAGTCTCTTATGAACCTGACCGACTACAGTCTTCTGACATTACCAGGGTGTTTGGTGGAGTCAGTAGTCATTTAAAACATTGTTGCTTCATCTCCCCTCAGAGTTAAGATATGTTCTGTGCTTGTAGCTCTGTCTAATGAGATTTGGGTTACTGTATGAATTGTCAATAACTCTTTCGGATATTTTTGCACTTTCACCAGGGAAATACAGGTATCAAAACCTCCGCAGGGAGGGGAGTGATTTTGTGCTATTGCTGTTTAGCTATGAGAAACAAGGCATGGATACTCTGTGGAAGTCTCATTTTACAGTTCAGCAAGGCCGTATTTTTAGTTTTTAGTGTGCCTGAATAATTTTAACCGCACAAATTATATCTCTTCTTCTAATTAAAGTTCAAACAATGCACATGTATGAGTTTTAAATCATTCTCTTTTTAACAAGTTTACTTAAGTAAAACTTTAATTAATATTAAAGACTTAATTTACCTATTTTGGGGTATAAATGATCAACTGACATAATGAAGTCTTGAAAATTATGCTAGAAAATTAAAAATTAATAATACCTTGTTTTACATAAGTTTGCTGTTTGTGGTCAATCTTTATTTTTATTTTGGATATCATAACCACCTAAACACTGCTGAGCCAAAAATGCCAAAACGAGAACCAAGCCAGAATAATTTACGAGAATTTCTAAAATGTATTTCATTTCCTTTTAATACATTGACTTCATTTCTATTTCATTTCTCTTTAATATATTGGCTGAACTTCTAAAATCTGCTGGTAATTACAGTCATTGCCAAGTGGAATAAGTGAGCTTCAAACACGTATGTATTTAAAAAAAAAAAAAAAAAAAAGTGAGATCAGTAAGTGGTATTTCAGTTATGGTTTTTACAAGGAAGCAGTCTGGTTTTGTTTACATATAAACAGCTGACTTTTTGCACGACAGCTTTACTGATACATGCTTGAGGTAAATCTTCCCTCCCCAATGAGGCCAGTGGGTTTTTCACTTGTTTCGATAGGGCGAGCTTTTGCCCCTAGTGTTGCTGTTGATTTCACGAGCCTGGAACGCCAGTACGCCAAGTATGAGAAACAGAAGAGGGGTTACTGTTCTTGATATTTAAGCTAAATTTTCTTTTTTATTATTATTATTTCATTGTTTTAAGTCATTTCAGTGTGGCAGTGAGAAATGCCTAATAGTTAACTTGTCGAAATGGAATTTATTTCTGCATGGAAAATATGTAAAACCCTTAGAATGAGTTGGGGAGGGGAGAAAGAGAGAGAAAGACAGAAAATAAGGTGCCCTGAGCTGTAACTGCGCAACCTGCTGCAGATCGATTAGTGCTTCGTTTCCTCCACAGTCTGGTTAATCAAGACCTCATGTCTTCATTCCACGGCCGGGAAGTGCGCTTTCTCCTGCTGTAGAGAAACCAGTGGGTGCTAGTCTAGGCAGAGGCAGGACTCGAACTCCAGATTCCCGTGAGGAGGAGCCAGGTTTGAGTTAGTCGGCTGCACTAAGGCTGAGAAACAGTTTGTAACTACGCCTGTGCGTAACCGCTAACAGGTTGAGACTCTGTGTGGTCCTCCGTGAACTAGACCGCCTTCAGTTCTGCGGTGGCTGTTGCATGTGTGGCTGATGTTCCCTAGCTGGATTTAATAAAGACTTCCGAGTTACAGTCCAAACTCTCTTATTATTATATTGTTATTATCACACGTCTGATTTAGTGCTGGTGTTGTATTTAGCTGTTTCATTGGTAAGCGCAGTTTCTATTTCTATCTGGACAAACAAAGAATGCTGACAAATAATGTTCTGGTACAAAGTAAAAACATTTTTGACACTGTAATTTTTGGCTGATCTCCAGATTTTTGGAGAATTTGACTTGTGACATCTGAATATTTAGTATTTGAGAGCATGTATCTTTTTGCCCTTTGCAGGTCTTCAGAAGGCTTTCTGAATATTATTGCAGACTGTCAGTGTGATATGAAAACAAGCTGAGAGATTTAGACACATTGGCTGTTTAATTCTAATGGAGGCCTTGTCTTAATTTACTGGATTGTTTGGAAATTTTCCCCTGGATTTGATATGACTAAAGAAGGAATAGTTATAACAGAGAAAGTCTGCAGTGATCAGCTGTGTAAAATTGACTGTATTGCTATTAAAATACATACATCATTAGGAAATACTCAACTATATTTTTCTATGTCAGTATATCATAATTATAATTGGAATTGTCTATAATATTTTTTACTTTGTATGTTACTTTCTTTCCATAGTTTTCATCAGCACTTGTGGTATCGATCTGACAGGTGCATCCCTGTAATTTAGATATTTGGAAGAATACTTGCAGTCTGTTTTCTTATGTGGGTTCAATAAGAAGACTTAAATGTCAATCTAGCATTTATATTATACTCAACTCAGTTGCAAAAATGGTGAGACAGTACCCAGTCTTGGAAGTTCATGGTAATGATCATTCCAAGATCATTCATCATCATTATGGAATAGAAAACTTACTGAGAAATTTAATGAAAAGTTCCTAAATATCTTTATATTAGATAATCTTCTGACTTGGACTTATGATTTGCTTGGATGTTTTTATATAGATGAAGGTATGATGGAGTATCGTGCTCTTTCCCCAAAACAAGCAAGAAGGATGCAGTTGTTTGCAATTATTATTATTGCCCCCGCAAATTGTCTGTTTCCTGTTTATAGAAATTGAGAGAGTAATTGAGATTCATTTTGCTTTATACAAAATTACATATTATCAGAGAGAAAATCAGTTTTGTATGTTAGTATTATTTAGGGGCAAGGCAATTTATTTAGGATTCTCCAGTTTTAAATACAAAAATGATGTATTTTAACGTTTCAAAATTCAGCAGTTGGTTAACTGATTGAAGGGGGCAACGCTAACAGTGTGACCTGTAACATTCCTTTTCA